TGTAGTTGAAGTTATGAATATTGGCTCTATACTGTCTGTATTTCAAACTTATGCTATGCTTCTGGGTGACATCCCAGCTCTGCCTAGCCTGCTTGATGGCCCATTAAGGACCATCAGCTATATAACTGACCCATTGAGAGAAGGCAGATACACCTTGTAACTCAGCAAAGTATGCAGGGACTTGCCCATGTGACTCCAGACTCCATTTTGCTGTAATTTTCCACAGTAAGAACCAAGAGGAGTTCCTACACCTGGAAAAGACTATAAAAGGCTAATGCCTCATCTCCACCTTGTCTTCAATCCTGCTTCTTACCTCTGGAGGGATTTTGCTACAAACTGAAGCTCTAAACAAAGGACTGATGACTCATCCCAGCTCTGGATGTACTCCAGAGTCTTGATTTGAACCTGCAGTTTATTCTATCACTGCTACAAGCCTGAACCAAGAACTTTGCCATTACTGTATGTAATTGATGCCATTTACCAATTCTTGCTCTCATCTATATCTGTTTCCTTTTATGAATAAACCTTTAGTTGTTAGATTCTAAAGGATTGGCGTGATTTGTGGGTAAAGTCTGATTTGTATATTGACCTGGGTCTAGGGCTTGGTCCTTTGGGATCAAGAGAACCTTTTTTCCTTTTACTGGGGTATTGGTTTTCATAACCATTTGTCCCCATAATGAGTGGCACTGGTGGTGATACTGGGAAACTGGAGTGTCTAAAGGAATTGCTTGTGTGACTTGTGGTTAGCCAGTGGTGTAAAACCAAAGTCCTCTCTGTCTGGCTGGTTTGGTTTGCCTTCGAGGTGGAAAAACCCCAGCCTTGGGCTGTAACTGCCCTGCTTTAAGCAATTTGTCCTGAATTGACACTCTCAGTTGGGTCCCGCCAGAACCAGCATCATTACACCTGCTAAAATTTCATTACATTATTAGCTGTTAAAAAGATCAGTACTTCATTCATATTTTGTAGTACATATATTTTAATGCTTGTGAAAAGGGCTATATGAGAGCACTGTAAGCAAGAAGGTGAATTATAGATATGCAGGAGTAATATTGTTAAATATCCTAAATAACTATCGGAACATAAGCAAAATTTTAAATAAGCATATTTAGATTTTCTAAGTAATTTTGTTCTCAAGTACCCAACTTCTAAGTTTTGTGTTGATTAGAGCAGATAGACCAATAAGGTCATTGAAAAATAATGAAAACAGTGTCCTTCTCACATGCCAGTAGCTCAACTCTGGGATGGTGCACGGGATTAGAATTAATTTGTTGAACAGCTTGAACTCAGGGGAAGATTCTTGCCAAACACTAGATGAGCTA